TTATTGAACTGACTGCAATGGCTTTATTTGTGTTTGGAACAATTTAGTCAATTAACTTAATTTTTTTTTTTCTTTAAGTATTTTGTAACTCTGAGAAGTCAGAGAGATGGTTTACCAAGAGTTGAGTCAAACAGCTGTGTACTCAGAAGAGTGGGAGACATCCTTATGAGTCATCAGCATCTTCAGAGAAGTTCAAGGGAAAGAACAATATGCAAATACACACCAGTGGAACAGCAAAATTATTCCAGCTCTTCTGAATTACATTTTCTGTATCTCCTCCTTTCTCTTCATATTCTTCAATCTTTTCTCTTATACTGTATTCGCCATGCATGTTGCCATATCAGTGCCTAGGAACAAGTATGAAGCAGCATCTTCAGTCCTATAAAGACTAAATGGCAGAAGGAAAAGTGTGTGGGATCTTTCACTGTCTTCTGCCCCCTCATATGACTTTCTTCTTAAATCAACCCTTAATATAGATATTTATTTGGCCTCTTTGCATGGATCCTTTTATTTTAATTATACTAAAGCACTGTGGGAGGAAGGCTGAGCATATTAGAGAAGTGGAAGTAATGGATTAGTATATTTTATGAACTCTCATAAAAATCAATACCAGAAAGCTTTGTGCAAAACTTTTAATGAAAAGGGATTATGAACTAGCCAGCATTTAGGTTCTGCCTGGACCCTCCTTGTGTTCTTTCAGTGTTTAAAAGAGCTTTAAAAAAAAAAAAAAGCCATATAGATTAACACCAGACAAATATCTTATTAATGATCTAAACAAACATACCACTGTGAAATAATCTGATATGAAGTAAGTCAAGTTCAGTATATCTCACATTTTATTTTCCTCTGTGCACAAGGGTCCTTTTTTCATTAAAGTTGAGTGAGGGCTAAAATACATAGGTGTTTCTCTTTTACTGATAAAACAACATTTAACTCAAACACTTAATACAATATACACTGCTGAATTCTTTACCATATCTTTAACAGGTGCTGGCTGTACATTTCATAACATTTTCTGTGTATGTTAAAATTTATCAGGCTATTTTAACAAGAAAACAAGTCAGGGATGGGGCAAGGGGGGGAGGGGAGGGTGCGGGGCGCACACCAGTTGTGGGGTGCACCACCGTTTTAGAGGCAGTGCCCATCTACCTGTCCAGTCCACTCACAATAACCCTGGTCTTCCTCAGGTAGGTGCTGGGAGGAATGCATACATGTGGGGAACTTTCCCCTAAAGCCAGTGTGAGGAATTCTGTCCCCATTGAATTTGAGATAGGTGCTGACTCATAAGTTGGAAATGACAAAAGTGGCCAGAAGGAAGGAATAAACTATTCCCCAAACTCAGAAGAGCAAGCTGGTTCCTCTGTCCTGCTCTGAGTCAAGCACCCCCACACTGCAGCAGGAAACTTGGGCTCCAGAAGACTCTGGTCCTCTTTCTGCAGTACTAAAACTGGCTTTCTAATGCTTTGTGGTACTTACAAGATCAGCAAAGCATCCTTCCATCTCCTGCCAGAACAGGATGAAAGCAGAGATCAATATTCCTGCAGCATGCACAGGAATTGCCATCTACTGCTTTACCACAACTGCAGCAGGCGGTCACTGCCCTCACATCCTCCCTAAAGAGCCAGCTGAGCAATTTCTGGTGATCTGGTACCTCCATGAGCTCACAACATGCTTATAGGCAAAGGTGGGAATCTTTAGGTTGTCGGGGTGATTTCAGATCCAGAGTCTGGATACTGTCCAGGTTCCCTCAGAAGACTTTCACACAGTCCTTCATGAATTACTCTGCACACCTCGGCACCAAATTTCCATAGCAGAAAGCCAAGACAGTATAGTCAACTTCTGGAACTTTCTTACCAACAAGGAAAAAAGGGATAGAAATATTTCTTCCTTGTAATCGGTTGCATTGGATTGCTGGAGGACCAATATGCAGCAGAAGACAGAGCTATGAAATATTAGCAGCGACCACTTACTCCCCCACCCTTCCCTCGCCTTCATTGGCTGATACTGTGCAGTTTCGCTGCAGTTGGCCAACAAACCTCCAGGTGGTTACAGAGATTTCGGTGAAGGAGAGCAGGGCAAAATACCTACTCTGCAGCAGGCCTGGATATGGTCTCCATTGCTTCACATTCCATGGTTATGTCTACATGAGTGTTTTCATTTAAATTAGGAACGGGTTTTTGAGGGCAATGTCCCAGCTTCCTGAGCTCCCCACATCTTGGTTCGCATTGTGGAACTGTTTGGGACACATGAACAGGATGGCATTTGGATTAAATTAACCTGAAAGTTATGCTCTCGCAGATAACGCGCAACGTGCTCCAACCTTTCTGGGTGTCCCTGTCAGGGTCAGGGAACAGCTAGTCCAGAGTACTGCTCAGGACACGTAACGGTGATGTCAGGTCCCTGGCATCAAACATTGTGCCATCCTGATCAATTCCTCTTGCACCACACCACTTGCTCTTAGACCCCTGGCAGCTACCGCACTACCTAGAAGCTACTACAGAATCCATCTTCCCAAATGAGAAAAGGCTGTGACAGGTATCTCATTTAGGACAGCCCATCACATAGATTAATTCCTTTAGATGATAAAGAGCCTCATACCATTCTGTTAAATGTCATTTATATGCCTGTAATTTAAAAAAAAAAAGACAAAATGACTGGTGACAATATATTCCCTCATCAGTCTGCTGCCCGAATTCAAACTATAAAATGACCAAAAGCTCTTAAGACAATCATGTTCTGTCCTCTGAGTCTCCAAGCACCCTCCTGCATTTGCAAGCAAACCGAATTCTTGTTTTGCCAAGACTTTTGAGGGCTGCACATCAATGTTTTGCTCGGCCCAGTCTAGTCTCTCCCTCTGTTTATTGCCGAGGGAATAGATCTTGAAACTTTCCTGTCAGCCGTCACCTGCACACAGGCTTGCATCTTCTTCCTGACTGACCCAAATCATTCGCAGTGCAGAGCAACTTATTCCTGTCATGTGATTTAAGTAGATCCACTGGTCACGGATTTAAAAAAGCCCATTTAGCTTTATAAATGTCTGTTTAAAACACCGCCAGCATTGGTAATTGCAGTGCTCTGTTCAGATCTTCCCGAGACGCCGTTGAGTTCATCAGTCAGCTCTTCTGCCAGGGTGGTTCTGTGGTCCCCAGACCCTTCAGCATATAGGAGAAGTCCCAACCTGCCCACCAGTGACAAACTGGAAGTGCCTTAGGGCAAAGACCACTGAAGAATTTTGGGTGAATGTCTAAGGGGCTGAGGGAATCGTGTCTTCAGGACCAAGTGGCGACTGAGAAGGGGCATTCAAAGCCGAGGCTCAGCTCAGTCATGTCACCTCTAGACTAGACGCCTGTTTCCCTTTTAGTGCATCTGGACTCGAGGCACTGCACCTTTGAATGCTGTATGAAGAAATACAGCATTCGTGTTACTGAACGTTGCCTCTGCCAAAATCTCACACGTAATAGTTCCAAGATGCTTTAAAATCACTGCTTAAGCTTCATGGCAGTTTCCATAGCCAGGAATCTCCAACTTAATTAATTAAGTAAATCCACCCTTAGTTAATCTAGAAATAGGACCTGTATAAACAGCAGAAATTTAGGATTGTCATTGATACAGCAAATGCAATTCTGCCATGTAATTTAAATGATATGTAAGTCATATCATAAATCTGTAAAAGCTTCTGAAGTCTGTAGGTTTCTTGCCAGCATTAATTTTGGTAGAAAGTAAGAAACATTTCTCCGGTGTTTGATTGCTTTTCAAACTCCAGGTCTGATATGTTCTTCAACAATCTGTCCCAGTCTGCCTTCTTGTAATATTCAATAGAGCTTAAAAATGAAAATTTATGTCTACGTATAGATTACTATAAGACCTATTTCAATGTTTATAGCTTTTTGCTAAAACAAACTATGGCAACAGTTATATTCAACTACCTTGAAACTCACTTGTGAAAATACATTCAACGTTGAAAATACAAACTTGATAATTTTTCATTATATGATGCATACAAATGTGTATCAAAAAATATTCCCATGCAGCAGACCACCCATGTAAATCACTCAGGGGAAAACTGATTTCCCATTTCATAAAAGTGTAAATCTAAGGATCTAAAGCAAAAAGTCACATAAAAGCTGTTAAATCACAAACACTGCTTAATAAAGATTGCCAGTACTGTATTAGATGTCTGATGAGACCAGACTCGTACTCGTGCCCCTGTACGCAGCATGATCATGATGGAAGTTTGTGCCACCTCAGAGTCGTGGGATAAGGCATCCGACTAGTTTATGCATGTGGTCCTGATATGGAACCACGATGCAGTTATCCATTGTTAGGAATATGAATTAGCAATCTGGAGTTTAAACTAACTGAGGGTGACTAACTCAGGAGATGTGGGGGAGAGGCAGAACATAGAAGCATAGTCATAGAATGGTTTGGGTTGGAAGGGACCTTTGAAGATCAAATCAGATAGATTCTTCTGCTACCTCTGGCTAGCAGTGATAAGCCAATGTTGCCTGAGTTATTTTCAGATTTGGGGATAAAAAATGAAGTTTCAGTGACTGTGCTTAACTGCGCTCATGGGTTTAGGTTTTAAAATGTCAGCTGGATTTAGCTGCTTCAGAACTCTAAGATACAACTGAAGTTTCACAAGCACAAGCTGACTTCTTTTAAATTCTAGTTTTAAAAAATTGGAAAAAAAAAAAGGAAGAGCTGAAGCAGTCTGAGTAAATGAAACCCATCAGGCAGTGATGTCAGGACTGTGCGTGAAATCGTGATTCCTTTAGCACATGATTGGCAGTCAGCCTCTAGACCCATGACCTGACATAAACCTCGTAAAGGACCTGCTGGGGCACAGTCCTCGACTCGTCTGGCTCAGCAGCTGCTGAGCACGCATGGAGCCAGCACAGCATCTGCGGGCAGCGTGTGCACGTACGACTGCGTGCACACGCGTGCACACCCCCTACATTTCCACAGGTCAGAGTGGGTGAGCAGATGCAAACCTGGGACGTATGTCGGAGTTCTGCTTTGTGGATGTAGCCAACATTATATGTGTCCAGGGAAGGTCCAGAGTAGACAAGGTAACAGGGATGTAAAGTAAACTGGTACCACCAGTTGATGCATTTTCTCTAGCCTTAATATTCACCTGTCTGATGTTGGCTGATAGTGTAAAATTCAGGCCCGTGTCATCAGAAAGGGTGAACCAATATTCAGGAACAAAACCCAATAGGTATCCAGTCTGATCCTGTGGTGTTCCCAGTGCCTCACGATGAAGCCGTTCTTAACTAGGTAACCGTTAGAAGCAGCGATATAACCACTAGCTTGTTGCTGCACTTGGGCTTTTTCTTCTTGTAATTTTTAGTTAGTACTTCTATCCCTGCTACTTATTCTGGAAATGATACCAAAATTCTGAAGAAACAAAGCTGTATCTCTGAGGAAGAGAAGATCATTGTCCTGCACAGTTGAACTGACTAGTATGGTACCTTCCTGCCATCTTGTGGCACTGTAGGGTTTGCAACTTTCTGTTGTATTGCATCATTTTTATTTCAAACCGTTATTGATTTTTAAGTTTCACATGCCATCTAGTTAAACAACACATGCAGGTTGAGTGAAAGCTTGGTCTGGCTGAGCGCGCTGTCAACACCCTGGTTGATTAAAAGGCTTGCAGCCTGCAGTAATTGTATTAATCTCAATATCGTATGTCAAAAATGGAAATAAATTCAGACTGAAGAATGTAAAAATGGGTTTCAGTTTTAAAGAATAAATTACAGTCATACTGAAATAATGTGAAGTTTTCACTGAAATAATACGTTCTGTTTGTATTATGAATTCACCTGTATTTTTCATTTGGGATACTTCGGTGTTTTTATAGAGCTTCCTCCTTTTTCAAGTCTGCCTGAATTACAAAGAAGCTGCATCTTTTATATGACTTGAGGGGAGATCCTTCAAGGGCTTGTTCAATGTTTACCTATGTTTCAAAAATTAAAGGAACAAATGAGAATGTGCTACTCTCCGATTTCCTGCTCCTGCTTTCAGGCTGGAGTCACCAACTCGATCCTTGAGCATGGATGCACCACGAGGAATTAATATCAAAGCACAAGCTGGGAATATTGAAGCTCTTTCCCAGATGGATATCAAACTACACAGCAGTGATGGTGTGGTGAGTACAAGCCCTTCTGATTCCGTAACTATGGTTGATCTTTGTGTCAGAATGTAGCTAATAGTCTTTTTTCAAGTTCAGCTAATTTAATTCCTCGGATTTTAGGAGACAGGATATTAAAATTAATGGTGCCACTTAATAAGACTTTTATTTATGGGTCAGATTGAGTAATAATACCAATTGGCATAATGTTGTATTAGTTTAGAAAAATGCTCTCTAACAAAACAGTGACAGTGCCCAGCTCCCTGCTGGCACGGCGATCCCTGGGCATCCCAGGTGGGCCCTTGGCCCAGAGGTAGAGACTCAGCCCCAGAGTCCCTAAGTTAAGGAGCGAAGCGCTGCAGAAACCTTCCCCAGAGTGACAGCACGCGACACGAGCCAGTTATTTGTCCCTCTGCGAGGCTGTACAGCACCAGTTCTTCCGCAGAGGAACTCCAGACCAAGCTGTGCGCCCGTCCTTCAGCAGCTGGGATGGCTGCAGGGCTGCGGCGCTCAGGCCGGGGCAGAGCAGCAGCGCCCGTGCCTCGGCACTCAGCGTACAGGCAGGCACACCATCCCTTAACCGAGAGTCAGGGAAGGGGATGGGCACCAGCTTATCCCTCTCCCATGTTCCAGTGTCTGGCAAGGGCCCAGGCCTCAGAGCAGCTTTGTAAATAACAAGGCTGTGCAGAAGGCTGTGTAAACCGCTGCCGAGGCAGTGCCAGGTTGGTTTACGCTATCGCGTTACTATCTAACGCCCCCATTTGTCCCCCTTTCTCCCATGCAGCTTTTGCTGGATGCTGAAACTGTTCGACTGCCCAAACTGCCTGAGGGTACAAGGGGTGGATCCGGCATTTCTCAGGGGCTCTATGAAATCTGCGTTTGCCCAGACGGAAAGCTCTACTTGTCAGTGGCCGGCGTGGGCTCCACTTGCCAAGAATACAGCCGTGTCTGTCAGTGAGGTGCCAGGAAAAGCCGCACACCCCCTTGCTAGTCTGAGTTTTATACTATTGCTACAGAGCATTACCGAAAGCTGAATTTTCAGAATTTTAAAAACAAAAAGTACTTCGGTTTAGGAAACAAAGCTGTAATTACAGTTCTGGACTACAGGGTGAAAGGGGAAGAAGAGCACAAATGACATTTCAACTTCAGAAGAATGACTTGAAGCAAATTACATGTTCTGTCAGTAACACTTTGAACACAGCCTTACAGAGAGCATAGAAAAGAAAAATAAAAGGAGTATGTTTCCTTGTGGAACTATTGTTCAGTGAGATGATGATGTCATTGTTAACATTTTTGAGCTCCGTGGGTTTTTTTCTCTCACTACATGTAAACACTTACTGCATTAGTGGGTGAAATTAAATTGAAGGAACTACTTGAACTATTTGCTAAGACAAAGCATTATTTGGAGAATTCAGAAAGTGCCAGCAAATGGTCTATGCAATTTTGTTCTTGCAATAACACAAGATATGAAAAATGTGGTGTTTGTATAAGTTCTATGTAAGAGGTGTTAATTTGCTAATAGCTTTTTATTTTGATTTGGCAACATATATGCTGATTTGCTTATTACTGAGATTCATACAAAAGTAACTAATACAAAAAGCTCCAGGACTCATTTACAACTCCCTGTGTCTCAAATCTATACATTAGAGAAATATGTTAGTGTATTTTATAATAGCAATAGTTTGTGTACTGCCTGTACCACCATACTCATTTAATCCCTTTTATATTTTAGGACATGCTAATTCAACAAGGCAATTTGGTCTGCCAGCTGGACTAGTAAAAAGAAAATAATCCTTAATGTGGCTCCAGATTGTCTGACACAAGGAACTGTTTGGGTGGTGGGAAAAAAATCTTTTTTTTGCAGCCCACAAGAGTCAATTAAGAAGACTATTTCATTTCCATCTACAGCTGTTGACTGATATTTCTGATCCTGTCAGAGTGGGACTCCATCACAAAATGAGAGTAAAAGTACTCTTTATTACGTTTCACATTAGGACTTTGGATACAAAGTAGATGCTCACCAGAGCTGACAAACCGTTTACTGACCTTGTAGAGAGACAGGACTGCAGACCCGTTCCCCTGTACAGTGTTGCACTGAACACAAATAAATTGTTTGCACACCTCTGGGTAGCAGGATTTGTATTTAATAACCTGTTGTTTAAACCTCATGGGTTTTTAACTCCTTTGATGCTGTTTTGTATATACTTGATGATAGTTATTACCCAGGTAGGAGCTGCTACCTCATAGTGCCTTGGTGTCCATTTACAGAAAGATTTTAACCCATAATTGTTATTAAACAACAGAATGTCCATCCTTTAGAGGAAAGAATCACTATCCTTAAAGCAGGTGAATCAGAACAAAACCAAAAATTACTAAACTGTGCCATTGTTTACATTTGCTACTTCAGCTCTGGTGGACAAGCAAAGAAACCCCACACTCGGTTATGATCCCAGATTCCCACAAGAGGCTGAGTTGAGAAAGAGCCCCGAGATAACAGAATCCACCATCATTGTGGTAAAGCCCTGGGTAGTCCCTGCCTCAAGGGATGCCTTTGTAATTTATCCAGTGAGTCTAATGTACAGTACTGAAATTGCCCTTCATTAGCAGGGTGGAGCCCTCAGCAATTCATGCAGTCTAGAAGTGCTTCAACAGGAAAAGTGGGAGATGGGCTTAAACTGAGCTTTTGGGTCCCTTCAGGCAAAGGAGGCAAGTGAATCAAGGTCTCCCATGATACTTGGACAGTGCTCCACTTGTTAACTTACTGCCTAGGGGAGAAGTGGGAAGCCTCACATCTTCCATTTCTCAAATCCCATTTCCTTGGGTTTAGACATCTACTTTCAGGAGTGAGTCCAGGGCTGTTGGCCTTAAAGAGAGGAATTTCTGTCTCTACTCTGCAATTGTATATCTACCTACAACTAAGCCCTCAGCTGAGGCAGGCTTTAACAGAAATCTGTCTTCAGCATTCATTTAAAATCCGTTTAGGTGGTTCTAGGTCCATGTGCAAGTTTTGCAAACCAAATTATAAGCAGACTTAGCTTATTAATTGGCCAGAAATTGTATTAAAATAAAGAGCAGCAAATTCCACTGCATGTGCCAGATACCTAAAAACGGCTGCTACGAGTAACCTGGAGGGCTGTAATGGCTACAGACTTTTACAGCTGCGGTGCAACAGCAAAACCAGACTTCAGTCCTTAGAGAATTCAGCCACTATCTAGTGTCAAAGGCATCTGAGTTGTCATCATACCTCTGTTTCTGACATCGAGGAACATACGCCTGCTTCCATGCGGTACCAAACTACTCACTCATCCAGTCGGATCCATAAATCTTAGCCAGATACTGTAATTAAGCACATTAGTTACAATTATCCTATTTTGCTGGCAATGAAAACATAGCATTTTTAGTTATGCACTTTAAGCTTTTGTTTTGGAGGCACATTGTCCAATGTGATTTTCCAGTTAACAGAGTGCAAGGGATTGGATCCAGGCTTTCCAGCTGTCACAAGAGTAACCTAACCTCTAAACTACCAGGTATGTGGAAGCCACTTCAGTCGCAACCTTCTGCACTGGAGTTGCTCTGGTTTTAGTCGGCATTCTTACAAAGTTGTGCTATGGAGCTAGGAAAATCAGGGTGTAATTCCCTGGCTGGTAACAGTGCAAAGCATTGTGGCACCTCGGAAAGACATTGCAATAACTACTGCTTTTCTTGCGGAGGTACGCCTTTTGGACTTGCCCCAGTTCACAGGTGGACTCTGAGCAGCACAGAAAACTAAACAGGTCTGCTGATGGCACAGCCCCAGCTCTGCCATCGTCCAAGTCAACAACTTGCCCCTCTTCATTGTTTAAATTTCAGTCATCTTTTCATTACACTACCAAATTGATACTGCAAATACAGTTGCATTGTATCAGTTGTGCAGGTTTTTTAAAGCATCGAAAGCAACTTCTTGTCACTGAAGAACATTTTTTGGATTTATTTTTGTTTAGCTGCTTTTAGTGAAGAAAAATTTAGGCTAAAATTACCACAGTGTAATCATCTGGTGCAATAATCTGAATTGTTGTTAATCTCAATATAGGTCACTACGTTATCATTGCTGATACCTCCACGTGGAGGTCTTTCCATCTCTCTTTAACACTTCAAAGTTATTGTTTCTACTTCAATCAAACCAGTGAAATGCTACAAATTACAGAAGATAATGGCACAGAAAAATGAGAGTATGCACTTCCCTACTGTATTTTCAAATGGTTTATCCAAATGGAGAAGAAAAAAAAACATTACCCAGCATAGTGAACTGTTATCGTTTGCATATTTTTTTCCCCTCAAAAAGGGGAACTTGGGACAGGTTGGGACTGTTACGCAGTGGGAAAGCAAAAATATCCAAATGGTAGTAAAACTTGATTGGTGATTGCCCAAACACAATGCTCTTTGTTTCCATTTCACAGGTCTTTAATACTGACATTTGTCTATATATAGGTTTATGCAAAAGGAAATTGCAAGAATAACTGAAAATTGAGTTCTTGAATAAACTTTATACATTTTGAAAAGTCTGCTTCTCCTTTTGTGTTCAAATGAAACACATCTTAAATTAATGTTGTCATTTAAAAAATAATTATCTTCATAAGACTCTAAGAATTTGAAATATACATTATTTAAAAATATGAATGAAAAATCCTGGCCCCAGTTAAAAATTTACTTTCCAGAATTTAGAAAATGCTTTATAATTAGAATTCTTTTTCTTCTTCTGTAGTAGGTGAAAGCAAGCAAAAAAATTATGACAGTGCTACTGAATTAATCATCCAGAAACCAAACCAAAGATAAACAGTTTTGACGAAAATCTCATTGACAAACACCCCATGTGACAAAATCGTCTGTCTTTAAATGAAAACATCTACTTTGGCTGTCAAGTTTAAGTATTTTTTAACTATTCTGCCTGTGTTCCACAATACCAATCCAGCCATCCTCAAAGTGTTCAGATCCAGCAATAGGAAATTTCAAAGTTGATACTACCCTCCTTTACTTTACTGGAGCAACTACAATAGATTGCATTAAAGCCTCATTTAATGCAACCCAATTACCAAGCGATGCGATGCTTATACTAATAGTTTTTAAATACTAATTTTCAAATCACCATAGTAACTTTATTTTAATGATGATTTTAGAATAGGTGTTAAGGCCATTCACTGAGAGGAAAACTTTTCAAGCTTCCACAAGGAGATAAATACCAACAAACCTGCCAAGCCTTGTTACAACTGCAGTTTGCTAGATCAAAGCTCCTGAATGTACAGGTAACTCAGTTTCCTGTTTACCACTGAGCTTTGCTAAACCTACCAACTGTCATCCTGGGAGACAAGACTACTGAAGCTGCTTTTCCTGGACATATTTCTGGTACCTGTGGAAGGTAACTAGGACATGTACCAGGCAGAAAAGACATTTTCTCTCATATGAACTTGTGTAACGTGCAAAATTACTTGTAAAATGTATTTTTGTAATCCCAAACACAAGTACAGGCT